CCTGCCCCTAGAGTAATGATGGTTTCTTACCAAAACTGTGGAGGGCATTTGAAGCTACTTCTGGCTGTCTTCATTTGAGTGACATTGATTCTAATGGCATCATAAAGCTTTTGAACCCAGCTGGCAGCTTGGAGCAGTGGTGCATGCTGATCTTCATGTCTGTATCTGTGTGTGTTCTTGCCGTTCCATAGCTCTCGCGCTGTAGCTCTCTGAGCTCGCTCTCACAGGAAGTGAGCCGGCATTTCCATCAGGTACCTGTGACTGGTGGCTCCCTCCTTCCACGAGGCTGGCTGTGTAGCCCCTGTGTCCCTTAGAGAGTCTGTTATCCTCTTCACTTTGTCACTAACCCCTTGTCTCACCCAAGCATCATGTGGGCAAAGATGCAATTTTCCTTTATTAAAGGACCTGGGTTTATGGTACTGTCTAAGACTCGCCTCACGGGGTCAGAATTCTCGGTGAGCTTCCTAACTCTGCTCCTTGAGAGATGGGCCTGACCCCAGCCATACCGTCAGCATCTCCTGAGTTAGGACACTACTTGGGAAGAAAGATTTCTTCTTGCTGATGAGGCTTGAGGAAGTCTGTTTGCAGCCAGTGGGGAGTAGTATGGCTGTGATGGCCATCACATGGCTAGTCTAGAGGAGACAAGGAATGCTTCACCTTCTGTTTTCAGTAGCTTTCAACGGAAAGTCTTAGCGGGTATTTCTGGCTGCCTATGGCTGTAGAGCAAGCACACTGTCCAGGTCTCCTAACTGCTTGACCAGCACTAATGAAATTTCAGTGTTCTGCATTCATTGTCTGCATGTTGTTGTTCAGATTATTTTACTGCATGGTGCTTCGACTTTGGCTATTCTGTGATGGAAACCAGTGCTGCCAGAGCTGTCTCCCTCTGGGGCCTGTTTGGCACATTAGTGGTCCTTTCTGAGGTGTGGCTTTTGTCTGCTGCTAGGACAGCAACTGCTGTGTAACACTGGCTCGCTGAGGTCCTTCTCTGTGCTTCACAGGCTTCTGGAGACCACTGTCCTGCAGGGGCCACTCCAGGCGGGTCTGTGCCCTTTTACAACCCTGCTCAGTTGGTGCAGGTGAGTGACCCTTGCCTTTGTTCTCCACAGCCCCAGCTTGCCTGCTCAGTGAGTCTCTTGCTCCCTGGCTCTTGTCTTTGTTTTTTGTTTGTTTGTTTTGTTTTGTTTGAGACAGGGTTTGTCTGTATAACCTTGGCTGTCCTAGAACTCAACTTTGTAGGTGCCTGGCTGTCCTTTAATGCTGAGTTACACAGCCACAGGGTAGAGATGTGGTCTAGTCCCTCTCCCAGTCCTGTGCTTCCCTCTCTTGCAGATTTGCCCTCTTACTTGACTTAGCCTGCATCCCCTGCTTGCCTCATGTTCCTCTCACTGCTTTGGGCTCTTCAGGTTCAGGGCTTTTCTTTCTGTTCCTTGTCATGGGCTGAGGGCTGCCTCCCCTATTACCAGCCTCCCATTCCTGCACAGGATGTTTATGGCTTTCCTGGTTAGCCACAGGCTCTCAGCCCAATCCTCTGCTCTCCCTCCTGCCTCTTCTCCTTGAGAGCAGCTCTACCAAGGAGACCTCTGGTTTGGAATCTTTCATTGTTTCATTCCTGATTAACCCCTCTGTCTGGGTGACATGCTATCCAGGAGCTTCAGGCCTCAACAGTTGACTCTGGAAGACCCTTTGGCTCTGTCCTAGGTGCTGGCCTGAGAGTTTGCTGGGTGTAGTTTTCAGACAGAATTTTCTTCAGATCAGAAGTGGTCGTGCCATTTTCTGGTGCCCACTATGAGAATTGAGGTCCTCACTCTCGGTCTCCCAAGACTGGAATGGCACTTTCCTCAAGGATCTGTGCAGCCCTTCCTCAGTCATTACCCTGGTGTATTCTGCCAGGAAGCATCTGGAACACGCTGTGGTTCTCTCCTCTCCACCAGTCTTCTGGGGAAGTATGATCTGGCTACTGTTAGGGAGAGCTGTGGTGGAGGGGAAGAGCTTTAGGCAGGCATCTTTATTTTAGGGGGCGGGGGACTTGAATCAGGTGCTCATACATGCTAAACAAGCACTCTACAAACTGAGCTACATCCCCAGCCCTGGAGCATGCATCTTGTGTTTTTATTTTTGTTTTTTTAATTTATAGAAGGATAAACAAGCAAAGTTTATTATCTATTTAATTTTTTATTTTACGTGTATGGGTTTTGCTGTGCATTTTATGTGCATGCCTGGTACCTACAGAGACCAGATGGCATCAAATCTCCTGGAACTGGAGTTACAGACAGTTGTAAGTTGTCATTGGGTGCTGGGAATTGAACCTGACTTCTCTGAAAAAACAACCAGCGCTCTTAACCACTGAGCCTTCTCTCCAGCTCTTATTTATTTATTTGATTGTGTTTGTTTATTCATTTATTTTTTTGTGTATGTCTCATACAAAGTCTGTTGAGAAGTAATTAAATAATTCCTTGCAGCCAGGAAAGGCTCAAAATGATTTGCCTGGGCAGGTATGTTAACATTCTGAATGTGATGTTCTCAGCACACTACTATCACAGGAACCCTGCGCTCAGCTGTGCTAGACCCAGCCATGGTCATTCTCTGTATAGTCCTCTTGAGGGTCCTGGCAACGACAAGATTTCATTTTTTTTTTTTTTTTTTTTTTTTTTTCGAGACAGGGTTTCTCTGTAGCTTTGCGCCTTTCCTGGAACTCACTTTGAAGACCAGGCTGGCCTCGAACTCACAGAGATCCGCCTGCCTCTGCCTCCCAAGTGCTGGGATTAAAGGCGTGCGCCACCACCGCCCGGCAAGATTTCATTTTTCTTTTGACCTTGTAGTTGAGTAGTTCTGCCAGATTCCTTGGCTTTGATCCCAATGAAGTCTTGTGAGGAAGAATATATGCCAGTGTTCTCTCCTGGCATGGGGCATCCCTGTGCTTTGCAGCAACAGAAGACCATAGGCCACGTCCACTCTTGGACTCGCTGACCCCTTAGCTGGCCCAGCTCTGTAGAGCTAGCATCAGCCCTGGTGGCCTTGACTGAACTGTGACAGAACGAAAACAAAGCATGTCTGGAGTGCTGTGGGCTAGGAAATGCTGAGCAGCAGAAACTTGGCACCTACAGAAGGTCTCACACTTGAAGCCAGCACAGAGTTTGCCCGTTTTTCAGTTATCTGTGTGCTTACCTTGTAGACTTATCCTGCTGCACAGTCCCTGGGCATGGACACATGTAGGTCATTGCTGTTCCTTTTGTTCCAGGCTTCTGTCACCTCGGGGAATTCAAGGCCGGGGAGGATTGGCCAAAGAAAATACGCGGCATTGAACTAGGATTGCCGCTGGATTTGTACTTGGAACCTTGAGATGACTAGATAACTGTTCTCCACCAAGAACCAAACTAGCTGCCTCAGGTCTCGTGGATCCCAGATGGACATGGCAGTAACCCAGAGCCGGTCATACTGTGTGTCTCCCTCCTTGCAGCCTGTGTATATGAATTACTGAAAAATTGATTCTATGGTTCCTTTCAGATGCTGGATAGAATGAATCTAATTCAAAGTCTTTTATGTAAAAGAACAATGTTTCTTTCTTAGTCGCTTTAGACAAATTAAGGATATAATAGTTTGAGTCACTTGAGAATACCACTGAAGTGAGGCTAGAAAAGGCTTCCCCACAGGAGAGCACGCAGTTCCTTGGAAACCAGGGACTTGCTCACCTGAGAAATGTTGCAAACGGACCAGGGTTCCTTAGGATGCTAAGAGAAGAGCAAGTGCTTGACTGGAGAGGAGCCTTTCCTCTAGTGGGCTGCCTGGCCTAAGAGGAGCCCCAGCTACACGCGGGCAGCTCTGCCCTGTCCTGTGAACCAGGGGGTCCATCCTAGCTCCTCTAGGGCCACCAGATGGCAGTGGCTCACAGGCAGGGAGGGAAGCCATTGTCAGGGCATGTCTCCAAGAAATCCCAGCCTGACTCCATTTTCTGTGGCCTGATTAGGGCTGGGTGGATTTTACTGCTCAGAGCTTCCCCTCGTGGCAAAGTCACTGGGGAGATCCCCAGGGAGCTGATGTTCTGAAGCTGCTGATCTGATTAACCAACCAGGTCAAAAACTGGCTGCATGCTGCAAAGTACTGCCCTCCTAGCGAGGGGTCTGCATGGGGCCCTCCAGTCGACTCCCTGTCACCTGTGCAGACATCTTTTAAGACTTGGTGGTATCTTGGAGTGACTTACGGTGTCCTAGCAGACACTCTAGAACCTGACATCTCTACCCCAAAGCCCGTCAGGGACCTTCAGCAGCTACTCACTGATTCAGCTACATCACTCTTCAAGGACCTGCTGCTACCTTCAAACTCAGAGCTTTAAGGCTTCACTGACTGTTCCTAAAACTATCCTTTTACTCTAAAGAGGAGGGAAAGAGATTTTTAAATATTTATAAAAATCAGCAGGTAATTTGGGTAGGAAACATAAATGGTTTGTTTGGTATTAAATTTAGAAATTGTAGAAAGTGGAATTAGTACAGCCCTTCCTGGTTTTCTGGTTCCCTGAATTATCTAGGAAAGACTCACAGAATGGTTTCCAGAATGTTCCATAGATGAGTGTGCCCGGACCCTCCTGTTCCTGTCACTAAGAAAGACCTGTCCCTGTGGGTCAGTAGCAACTTGTGTCCTTGCTGGGACCAGGCAGGACTCTTGCCCCTGGTGCAACCCTGCCCAGGCTCTGTGTTGACTGCCAACCACTTTTGATTCAAGAAGCTTCCTCCCTGGGAGCTGCTATTTTTCCTAAATTCAAATTGTTAAATAAAATATTTTGGGCTCTCAAGTAACTTCATTTATGGCTTCCTTTGTGTTTTGAACGGCAGGCCAGTGAGATCTTAAGTGTGGCCAGAGCCTTGGGCTAATGTCACATTGGGCATGGTCTGTCTGGATGGGGTACAGCCTCTGTCGAACAGGGCGTGGCCTCGTGGGTGTGGCTTCCAGGCAAGGGGTGTGGTCCTCCAGCCGCCAGGGGCCGCTGTGGGCGGCGGTATGATCTTGAGCCCGGCGGTTCGCCGGGCAACCACAGAGCGGTTCCTGGGCCAGGGTGACCACTAGGCTGAGCTGTGGCGAACCCTGGGCGGGGGCTGGGGCACGGGGCAGCAGTCGTTGTTCCAGCCGCCACCGTGACTGGGCTAGCCCCGCCTCCCCCAGTGCCGGGCCTGGCTGGATCGGACAAGGCGTCGGACGGTGGGTCTGCAACCGAACGAAGGGCACAGGTGAGCCTAGGACGCCGAGCGCGCTGCCCTACTCTGCCACAACTCTGCCACAGTCGGGTGGAGGGCTCTCCCAGGGTGTGGGACAGGCTGCTACAGCTCCAAGGAGGAAGTGCAGTCCCGACCTCCTGGTACCTGTACCTACGAGGTCGCTTTAAGACCAGCAAGCTGGCTTCAGGGAGCTAAGAGAGACTCCGAGAGATTTTCCGGATTTCCTCAGGCATCTATGAGAACTCAGGACTCCAGCCATGCAGCCACAGGCCCTGCTCCAAAAGGACCGCCCCGTGCCACAAAGGGAGCCACCCGATTTTTCTTGGCATCCTGCTGGTGACCTCTGACGTGCATCCTTGACAACAAGAGTTTTGTTAACCTCCCAGAGAGGATCACTTTCTTTAGGAGGGCCAGACTGAGTGGGTGAGGGCTGACCAGGTTCGGACTATGCCATCCAAGTCAGCTTGTCTGCGTCACACGGAGGTACCTGGGCAGCTGGAGGGCAGAATGCTCCAGGGACAGCTTCCAAATACAGACAAGAACCTCACCCCAACACCTGCCTCCCTATCAGCCACTGACCCTCAGGGTTCAGAGACAAACCCCATGCCTCCTTTCAGCATTCCAGCAAAACCAAGCAACCAGAACCCACAAGCTAAGGCAAACCCCATCACCCCACAGCTACCTATGAGACCCAAGTTGGAGCGAACCCTGTCCCTGGATGACAAGGGCTGGAGAAGAAGGCGTTTTCAAGATAGTCAGGATGATCTGACAGTCCAGAATGGGGCCAGTCCTTGTATGGGCTCCATGCAGGACTCTGTTGCCCAGTCTCCTGCCTGCAGTCGGCCCCTACCCTGCCTCAGCACGTCCTTGCAGGAGATTCCTAAGCCCCGAAGGGCCACAGGCAGTGAAGGAGGGAGCCCATCCTTGTGGAGTGACTGTCTCCCTGGAATGATCAGCACCTCCTTGGACCTCCTGCACAGAGAGGCCACACCAGGTGGGGGCTCCCCCAGGTTGGCAAGTTTGCATGCCGCACACACACCACCAGCCATGGACCTCAACATAGCCTCCAGCTCCCTGAGAACAGCAAACAAGGTTGACCCTGAGCATGCCGACTACAAGCTCCGCATGCAGACCAGGCTGGTCAGGGCTCACAGCAGCCTTGGCTCTAGCAGGCCCCGGAGCCCCTTGGCTGGTGACGATCACTCCATTCACTCAGCCAGATCTTCTTTCAGCCTTCTGGCCCCCATCCGCACCAAGGACATCAGAAGCAGGTAGGATTCTTGGAGGGAGTTTCTAGGAGCTCTGGGGCTGTCATCCAGAGGCCTCTGTCTAATCAGGCCAAGGGCAAACTGAGCCAGGCATTGGTGGCTCATGATTGTAATCCCAGCACTTGAAAGGTAGAGGTAGGATAATCACGAGTTCAAAACCAGCCCTAGCCTGAGCCGCCACCATCTATATATGCAGATAAATGAAGAAGTCAAGCTGCACAGGGCCATGTGAATAGATTCCAGTAGAGCATGCCTAAGACTTGGAAAATAAGGCAGGACTCCCATCCCCTCTCAGACATTATGCCTTTCTCCTTCTGTGTATCCTTCCAGAACCTTTCCTTTGTGGCTCAATGTCATCCACAGACACTGCGAATCTGTAAAATAGATCATTCCTTATATAGGCAGAGGAGAGCACACCCATCGTGCTGTCGTTGCTCCTGTAGTTTGTACTTCCATGCATCCTCCTGGGAAGCCTTCTCGGTGTCTGAATTGGTCCCTCTGTTTTTTCTGTGTGGAGGGTCACAGGTTTCTTTAGCTGTACTATTATTTAACCACTGCCCATGAGGCACACTCAGGGGCTTCTTAGTGATGCCTGAGGGAGGGTTGAGCGCTGTCCTATCACACTTTGGGCCACAGGTCAGCATTTTACCAGGACATTTAGATACCAGTTAACCTACTGGACCAAGTGACATCCCAGGAGCCACTTACAGGGACAAACGACAGGCTTGAGTAGTTTACCTTATGCTCTTGGGAGAGCATCCACACTGTCTAGAGCCACAAAGTCTGGAGTGGAGACTTGCTAATGTCCACTGAGGCCCCTCACCTGCCACACAACATCTCAAGAATGTACAGGTCCTCTGCTTCTTGTGCTTGGCTTCCTGACTCCAGTAATTAACTTGTATCATCTTACACCGAAAAGAGCCCGGGTGCATCCCAAGATGAGCCCTTTCTGCCTATGGCTTCCCAGTGCTGGCTCCCCTCTTCTGAGTCCACCAGCCACATCCACCACTGGGGGCACAGGACCAGAGCATGGCCTATCCAAATCTGGAGCCTCCTTTCCCAAGCTGGTCCCCTTCTGGGGTCTTGTTCTTGACCCGTAAGGTGCATCCTGCCTATATTCCTCCCACAACCATGTTTGGAGTCTTAGGGTGGGTGGGGAAGTGAGAGCAGGGAGAACCTAGAGATGGCTCCTGCGGTTGTTTCCAGGAGCTGCCTGAACAGGTGACTATGGGTTAGAAGGTTTCATACAAGAGACCTTGAGGCAGAAATCGGGAATGAAGTGTCATCAGTGCTGCTTCAATCTAGAGGGCCAAAAGAACTTTCCTTTCCTCTGAGAGTGTAGTTTCTGCCTGTGTCTCCAGGTGGTCACTTCTAAGTTTCCCAGTCAGTGACTCCAGCCATGTTACAGGGCCCTCTTCTGGAGATGCTTCCATACTTCTACACAGAGTGCAAAAGAGAGCCGCATTCTGGGGTTGGAGGGGGTGCCATTCAGTCCCCTTTAGCTGCTGATGCCTTACTCCCAGCATCAGTAGGCAGCCCTGCAGGTATGGCCCTCTATGCCACGCCTCTTCACCAAGCCTGGCTCCTCCTCCACAGGCCCTGGTGCCCTTCTAGCACCTCTAGTTCAGTAGGCCAGCAATCCTTTTAATTATTTAAAATATTTAAATATTTTTATTATTTTTAATTAGGTGTAGGGTATGTGTCTGCATGTGGGTATGTGCATCAGAGTACAGGTGCCTGCAGAGATCAAAAGTGTTAGATTCCCTGGAGCTAGAGTTACAGGCAATTGTGAGCTGTCTGATGTGAATGCTGGGTACCAAACTTAGATCCTCTGAAAAAGGAGCAAGCACTCTTAACCACTGAGCCATCTCTCCAGTCCCGCGGGGGTCTTTTTTAAAAAGTACCATTTCTACCACATTCAAAGCATTATTATTTGCAATGCCTAGGAAGTGAAAGTAAGTCTGAGTAATATCCATGGGTCCCTGTTGCATCACTGGGAAGTGATGGAGGAGGGGCTGTAGCAGGCTTTCTTGGACCAAATCATGACACACTTAATTAATTACGAAAGCTTGGCATTAGCTTAGGTTTGTTTCTAACTGCTCTTATAACTTAAATGAACCCATTTCTATATCTGTGTGCTGCCACGTGGCTCGTGGCTTTTACCTCTCCTCCTGCCTGTCCTGCTTCTTCTCTATCTCCTCTGTTATCTCTCCCTTGCGTAGATTCACCTCTTCTTTCTCTCTGCCCAGAAGTCCTACCTAACCTCTTCCTAGCTATTGGCCATTCAGCTCTTTATTAAACCAATCAGAAGGCGCCTTGGCAAAGACACATCTTCACAGTGTACAAAAAAGATATTCCACAACAAACAAGGGACTTTGTCCAGTTCTGCCTCACACCTTACCACTCCAGTTTGTGGGAGTTGGTTCTTTCCTACCGTGTGGGTCCTGAGAATCAAACTTATACCATCAGGTTGGCGGCAAGCACCTTTATCTACTGAGTCATCTCACCAGCCTAACCTGCCACTGTGTGTGTGTGTGTGTGTGTGTGTGTGTGTGTGTGTGTGTGTGTGTGTGTGTAACAAGGTCTCACTATATAGACCAGGCTGACCTTGAACTCATAAATATCTACCTCCTGGGATTAAAGGCTTCAATGCCACTTTTCCCCAGAAGATCTGGGGTGCCCTCCCCTAAGTGGGTTGGGAAGAAACTGTGCTCCTAAGGCTGGTGACAACAGTGAGCTCCTGTCCTGCTGCTGTCCAGTCATGTTCTGTAGCCACCTGGACAAACTGTGTGGCTCTCTAGTTCGGAGGAAGCAGAGTCAGCTTGTTCAGAAGGGCGTGGGGCTTAGGTGCTAGTGACTGAAAGACTAGTCCGTGTCTACCCTTTGCTCAGTGGTCCTTTCCTAATGCTGCTATATGACTTGGGAATTTCCTCCACCCCAACTGGTATGTGGACCCAGCTAGCACATTAGTGACTTTGACTCATCAGCTTAGAGGTGAGATCAAGAAGGTCCCTCACTATGACAGCCCAGTCTCCATCCTGAAAGTGTACAGAACTGTACCATTATGATGTTCTGTCCAGTGGGGTCCAGGAACATGGGTTCTGGCTTTAGTTGGCCATTGTTCTTAGGGACTTGGTTATACTTTGATCTTCAGAGGAACATGGGTTTGTTCATGTATTCTTTTTTTATTTTTTATTTATTTTAAGATTTATTTGTTTATTATGTATACAGTGTTCTGCCTGCATGTTCTGCCTATAGGCCAAAGAGGGCGCCAGATCTCACTACAGGTGGTTGTGAGCTGCCATGTGGTTAATGGGAGTTGAACTCAGGACCTCTGGAAGAACAGCCTCTTAACCTCTGAGCCATCTCCCTAGCCCTTGTTCATGTATCCCCCCCCCCCCCCACAGGGTTTCTCTGTGTAGCTTTGTGCCTTTCCTGGAACCCACTTGGTAGCCCAGGCTGGCCTCGAACTCACAGAGATCCACCTGGCTCTGCCTCCCAAGTGCTGGGATTAAAGGCGTGGACCACCACCGCCCGGCTGTTCATGTATTCTTAACAAGTTTGGCAAAACAGTAAAGTAGGCTAAGCATTGTAGAGCATACCTTCACTCAGCTACTGGGAGACAGAGGCAGGAAGATCTCCAGTTGAAGGTCAGCCTGAACACAGCAACACCTTGTCTCAAAACAAAATAAACAAACAAATTGAAGATAGCCCAGGATGTAGCTCAGAGGTAGAAGGCTTGCTTAGCATGCATGAAGCCCTGGGTCCATCTCTAGCATCACCAAACACAGGGGTGGGGGATGGTCAGAGAGATGGCTCAGCAGTTGAGAGCACTCGCTGTTTACGCAGAGGACCTGGCTTTGGTTCCCAGCACCCACGTGGTGGCTCACAATCATAACTCCAGTTCTAGGGGGTCTGATGCTACCTTCTGACTTCCAAGAGTACCAGGCATGCACATGGTGCACATACACACATGCAGGCAAAACACTCATACACACAAAATAATTGGGGGGGGGGTGTTTTTGTTTTTTTGTTTGTTTGTTTGGTTTGGTTTTTTGAGACAGGGTTTCTCTGTGTAACAGCCCAGGCTATCCTGAAACTTACTTTGTAGACTAGACTGGCCTCGAAACTCACAGAAATCCACCTGCCTCTGCCTCGTGAGTGCTGGGACTAAAGGCGTGTGCCACTACTGCCCAGAAGGACTTCATTTCTTAAAGGTCTGGAGAATAATGCAAACAAATCTAATATTTCTCAGTGTATGAAAAATCATGTAAGATTCAGGTTTTTTAATGATTATATTTCATTTATACACATTTATATTTCATGTGTATTAGTGTTTTGCTTGAGTGTTATCTGTGTGAGGATGTTAAACTCCCTGAAACTAGAGTTATAGACAGTTGTGAGCTGCCATGGGGGTGCTGAGAATTGAACCCAGGTCCTCAGGAAGAGCAGCCTGTGCCCTTAACTGTCTGTCTCTATCCACGGACTTAGCCTGTCCATCTCTCCAACCCTGAGGTTCAGATTTCATGACCCTTATAAACACATCTTTCTGAGCACACACCACACCGGTTTCTTTCCAGCCTGTTTCTCTCTAAGGGCTTTGGCATTCCTGTGCTGTGGTGATGGAGCTGAGCGATCAGACAGAGAGCCCGGCCCCGACAGGACTGTGTATGTCCTCAATCTCTGTACAGGGTGGCTGGGCCGGCCCGGCAGCACATGGTGCACACGTGTCCTGCGTAGGTCAGAGATTCATCACTGTTAGAACTGTATCTCAGCTTGACAGGTATGGCTTCATTCCACTGAAATCTGGAGAGGGACTCAAATCCGAGGGAGACGAGTGCAATGCTCGGTTATCATGAAAGTGGTGCTGCACTCCAGCTGAAGAAATTCCCAACTCCAGGGGTGACACTGACACCTGGTGTGGTCAGTGTCGTCCTCCGGGCTCACATGGCTTGTAGGACTGATACCTTCGGAGAGAGTGGCTCCAGAGGCACCTGTCCTGAGTGAAGGAACTTCTGGGTTGCTTTGGTGTCACTGAGGCTGGCTGCTCACTTGTCTCTTTTTGTAGGAGCTATCTGGAGGGAAGTCTTATGGCCAGTGGGGCCCTGCTAGGAGCAGATGAGCTGGCCAGATACTTCCCAGACCGGAACATGGCTCTCTTTGTGGCTACCTGGAACATGCAGGGCCAGAAGGTGAGAGGGGTCACAGTGAGGTAAGGCAGAGGCAGCTAGACTCCATGTCCTTGGGAAACCTATCCCAAGAGGCCCCAGCACAGTCCACTGGTCACAACATAGGCATAAAGATACGCAAGTAGGCTACCTCCGTCTCTGTGAGGCCTCATGAGGGACCAGAGTTGGGCATGCACCTGGGAGGATAGTCAAACCTGGCAGCATGCAGCAGAATCTAAGGTACCTGGTAAAGAAGGGCCCCAGACTGGGAGGTGGCAAGGGAACCAAGTATCTGACATGTCAAGGTTCCCTGGGAGACCAAACCCACAGCTGTGCACAAATTCTCTTTGAAAAGAGGCTATCCTGTGACCACCTCCAGAGGACTGTGCAGGGCCTTGCTCTTCAGCTTCTGCCCCCAGACCTGAGGGAGCCTAGTGGCCTTGACTATTTTGTGGCTCTTCACTGCAGGAGCTCCCAGCGAGCCTGGATGAGTTTCTGCTCCCCACTGAGGCCGACTATACTCAGGACTTGTATGTCATTGGAGTTCAGGAGGGCTGCTCCGACAGGTGAGGCACCACACAGCCTCCATATTGGAGTCTCCAGTGTCCTGTGTGGACAGTTCATGGAGACAAGACTATAAGCCTGAAGGGTGGCCCCTGAGGCTTCGTACAGACCGGAAACAGTGTGGGTTAGATGAGCAACCTCCATGCCTCACTGAGATGAGCACAACTAAAATCAGTAGTGTTTCAGGCTGGGTCTGCAGTTGGCCAAGGACGCACAGAAGCAGCTAAGATGCCTGGTTCATCCAGAGGCTCTGGGCTGCTGCAGTCTGGCCATCTGTCCTGTGGCATCCTGACTGGTTTCCCTGGGAAGTGGTCCCACAGCTATGTACTCCTCACTGCAGCTCATGGGGTTCCTTGGCCTTGCATGCTCTGGGAAAGGGAGCCTGTCCTCAGAGCCCCCAAGGAGTGATGGGGCCCACCCGTGCCAGCCTACAGATCTCTGACAACTCACGTGGGTCTTGGGTGGGACTGGAAGTCTGCACATACCATCAGATCGGGGTCTTAGGACTGCAGCCAACCTGGAGGGTCCCCCACAGTGCACAAAGATGCCATTAGCCTGTCATTATTATCAGTACAAGATGAGGCCCAGTTGTGAAATGGGCCTAGAAAAGCTTCCAGGGGCTTTCTGGGCAGCAGATGCGGGGAGGTGGCCACCTTTCCTATAAAGGCCATGCCCTCATATAACCTGCCTCCTTCCCACAGGCGGGAGTGGGAAACTCGCCTGCAGGAGACACTGGGCCCTCAGTATGTGCTGCTGTCATCAGCAGCGCACGGGGTCCTGTATATGTCCCTGTTCATCCGCAGGGACCTCATCTGGTTCTGCTCAGGTAGGTGCCACCACGGGGCTTCTCCCCGCCACTCCTCCCTCTTTCCCTGTGTGTGCGTGTACCGCAGAGCACATGTGGAGGTCAGGACCACCTGCAAGAGTGAGTTCTCCTTCCACCCTGAGTTCTAGGGTTTCCAGGAGTGACATCTTGCTGGCACTTGCCGTGGATTCTGTATCTCCTGCTCTCAGGGCTTAGGTACCTCCACATGCAGGCTCTAATAACATGTGGACCCTGTCTACATATAGGGCCCCTCAAAGCACGCTGCAAACTCTCAGGCAAATGTGCACTCCGTGCCTGGGATCCAGCCTTTGAGGTTCCCATGTCTGAAAATACGCATGAGCACACCTACCGTAGCTGTGTCTGTGAAGGCCCTGAACCCTGTCCTTGCCCTGCAGAGGTCGAGTACTCCACAGTAACTACACGCATCGTGTCTCAGATCAAGACCAAGGGGGCCCTGGGCGTCAGCTTCACCTTTTTCGGCACCTCCTTCCTCTTCATCACATCTCACTTCACCTGTAAGTGTTTGCAAGCCAGCCACACAGTCCTGACACTGGCTTGTGAGCAGCTTCCTTTCCTCATAGGCCTCTGTCCGGGGGGGGGGTGCCAGTTACTCTGGACTAGTAATGGGGAGCTCTGCCTGACACGCAGAACATTTTCTATCAGCCACAGTCGTCTGAGGCTGATAGAGCCCCACAGCAGGCAACTGGGCAGTAGTGGGGGACAGTCAGGGTGGGGGCAGTTTTGGGGGCAGGCTCTTCACAGCAGCTCAAGTGCCTACTCTGTCTCATAGCTGGAGATGGGAAGGTAGCCGAGCGGCTGCTGGACTACAGCAGAACCATCCAAGCCCTGGCCCTGCCCCGGAATGTGCCCGACACAAATCCCTACCGCTCCAGTGCAGGTGAGGGTTGCGGCTCCACAAGGCACTCCAGCATGTGACTGTTTCTGTCCCTTGTCCCCTGGCTGCTTAGCAGAAGCCATTTGGGAATCAAGAAGTCCTCACTACTGAAATAGCCACTGGGTCTGCAGCCGGGCAGATGGGAGCCCACAGGGTCCAGTGGCTTGCCCAGGGCCATCATTGTTTGTCCGCACTCCTCACTGCGGACCATTTCCTGGCCCTCGCTGAGTTGTGAGAAGCTGATAGGATATGGCTAGCCTGCTGTGTGCATCAGGGCTGTCCTTTGCACCAGGACTACACAGCCGCCTTCCCAATCCTCTGCAGATATTGACCTTGGCTGTTCCCATCGCTAGTCTCTTCCTGGGAGAGCTGCTGTGATTCTGTCGGGAAGGGGATCCAGACAAAGGAGGACCTATCACTTGGCCTAGAGCCCATCCACTTGCTAGATCATAGCAGGGGAGGGGAGGGGAGGGGAGGGGAGCTCCAGCGTATTCTCCCACGTGCCCAGGGGATGTCACTACCCGGTTTGATGAGGTCTTCTGGTTTGGGGACTTCAACTTCCGCCTGAGTGGTGGCCGAGTGGCTGTGGAGGCCTTCCTGAAGCAAGACACCGAGGTGGATGTGCTGGCACTCCTGCAACATGACCAGCTCACCCGAGAGATGAAGAAAGGTGAGTGGCCTGGGGAGCAGCCCCTTAGGTGTGGTTCAGGACCCTCCCTGAACTCTCCTGTGTTGCAGGGTCCATCTTCAAGGGCTTTGAGGAGGCGGAAATCCACTTTCTCCCATCCTACAAGTTTGACATTGGGAAGGACACCTATGACAGCACCTCTAAGCAGAGGACACCTTCCTACACAGTGAGTGTGTAACCTTTGCTTGGCCTCAGGACTCCTGCCAACCATAGCTCACGGCAAACCGTGTGGGACTGGCACTCAGCAGCCAGCCAGGTTAGCCAGCCTAAAACTCAGCTCCAGGCCTGAGGCCAGTGACTGCATGCTCACATTTTATTGGGGGTGGAGGATAGTCTCTGAGTGTATTACAGGGCTAAGCCAAGCCATCCATCCCTCAAAAGCAGGCCATAGTTGGATCCACACATAGTCCTGGGAGAGGACAGGCGGGAGACACCTGCATTCTTGCCTGGCTTTTTCACCAGACCTGGGCTCTCTGGTACACGGTAGCACCTGGTGGGACCACAGGACATCCACGAGGCAAGGCAGCCCCCACTGCTCTCAGAGGGCTAGAAGGGAACAGATGCTGTCCACGTAGGTCTTTAGATTCCTAACCGTAAGAGATCAGGAGTCAGTGGGGAGGGCTCCCTAACTGAAACACAGCTAGGCCAGGGCTGCAGGCCACACCTTGCGGTAGAGGTACCTGCAATAGAATGAGTCTCTGCCCCTGCCTCCCATCTCTTCTGAAGGACAGAGTCTTATACAGAAGCCGCCACAAGGGTGACATCTGTCCCATGAAGTATTCCTCTTGCCCTGGGATCAAGACTTCAGACCATCGTCCTGTGTATGGCCTGTTCCGGGTGAAAGTGAGGCCAGGGAGAGACAAGTAAGTCTGTGTTCACCCCTCAGAGCTGGCTGGGCTTCGGGGCCTCTTGCCAATTTTGGATGGGATGACTTTTCTGGGAGGGGTGGCAGGCTTAGGTATGGAGGAGCGTGATATTGTTTCATGCTGTAACACACCACACAGGCAGGCTTAATATGAAGTCACTTTCATCTGAGCCTAGGTCCTAGCAGTTCTCAGGGTTTCCCTGTAATGTGCAGGTTGCTAACCTTTGGGGTTACACGAAGCAGCAGTTTGTTCTGTGACCTCAGGTTCTCTGGGGTTGAGCAAGCTCCTCTGGAGCAGTATTAACTTCACCTTTTTGGCACTTCCACACTCAGGGTTGTGGTTGAGGCTAGGGCAGCCTAGATGTGTGAACCGTAACTGTTGGATCGTGGCCCGTTCTGTATGGGGCTCAGGTGTGCAGCTGGTGAAGCTGAAGCCAGTTCTTCTAACAGGTCTTTCTTCCACAGCATCCCATTAGCCGCTGGCAAGTTTGACCGAGAGCTATACTTGATAGGAATTAAAAGACGGATTTCAAAAGAACTTCAGAAACAGCAAACAATGAAGAACCAGAGCTCCAGTGCTGTGTGCACTGTGTCTTGACGGTACCAGACAAGTACTGGCTACTGCAGCTTGGGGACCAAGGTCACTGGAAAGAGATTGGGCTTGTTCTTTGGTGCCTCTTGCCATGTTGGGGTCTAATAAACCATGGCTAGGGGCTCTCCTGCATTCAGTACAGACCCCAACCCTCAGGACAGAAGTGGGCTGTGGCCAGGCCATGCTTATCTCGGGGCAGGCCTCAGTTATTTATGCCATGTTCCCACAGGCACATGGCAGGGATTTGTTCTGAGTGGGACATATAGACACCAAGCAGCAGCCTCACACAGAAGCTGTAGACAGAGTGAGGCTCGCCCCAAGCAATCCCACACCCTCCCTATGGAACAGCCCCAGCTTCCTGCCCTTGGCACTGTAGCTCTTTCAACCCTGTCCCTGTTCTCACGCCAGAGCCCAGGTTACAGATCTGTGTCCTAGCAGCCCTTTCCTCTTCCAGCGAGGGATCAGGCAATCTCTGCTAGCTTAGATTCACAATGGCCCTAAAACCTGCCAAGGCCTAGAATTCAGAAGCCAAAGCTAGTCACTTCTGGAGTGTATCTAGCAGGCATTTTGGCAAGTTTTGGGGTTCTACATCCTGGCCCCAGGCTCCCAACCTCCAGTTGAATAGGGACCTCTCCTCTCCACAGCTCTATCAATTCATGGCTTTAGGAGCGTCAGACCATTTGCTTTTGTGCTGCTAGCCCCAGAACAGCATTAGAGGTGATGTCACAGGGCAGCACCTTGCTGGGCTTCATTCCTTGAAGGCGGCTTAGAACTCCTCGTTGCTTTCAATCTCACCCCATCCCTGAGCGACATAGCCTTGAATGTACAGACACCTAGGGGCATGCATCCATTCTAGTCTTCTAAATAATTTATTTTTCCATATTTATATTTTTAAATAAATGCATATATTCAATTGTGAGCTCTCTCTGGCCAAAGACTGAACCTTGGAAGCAGCAGTCTGCGTGCATCCCAGGGTTTTAAAGGGCAATGGAAGTCAAAAGCAATTTGTTTTTTTTTTTGTTTGTTTGTTTGTTTTTTTAAAGATAGTTTCTCTGTGTAGTCCTGGCTGTCCTGGATCTTGCTCTGTAGGCCAGGCTGGCCTCGAACTCAGAGATCTGCCTGCCTTGGCCTCCCCAGTGCTGGGATTAAAGGCCTGTGCCGCCGCCTCCTGGCAAAGGCAGCAAATTTAGTCTCACCTGTCACTTGCTACTCAGCCCCATCCCGGGTCCTTCTGCTAGTGCTGCCCCTGCTCACAGCCAGAAGTGGCAACAGCTGGAGAAAGCGACTACTTGGGGCTCCAGTGAACCATGGTAAAACAAGCTAACAAATGAGATAAAACTTGCCAGCATCAGCTTCTAGAATGTGGGATGTCAGCAAAGCCAAGCCTTCCTGCTTCAATAAACCATTCAAATGTACATGGAAAGTGCCAGAATGTCAAATCAGTGAACTGCAAACTCCCATTGGGAAGACTTGTGTTAACGAAGCTTGAAATGTCCCCATCTGTACCCCCTATGCCCCAAAGGCTGCCTTGGAACTTGTGACCTTCCTGCCTCAGCTGCCTCCACTATCCTGATTTGAGTGAGGTCTGAAGCTTCTCTTTTCTTTTTTGGGGGGGAGAGGAGGGGAGGGGGCTTTCAAGGCAAGGCTTCTATGTGTAGACCAGGCTGACCCCTAACTCACAGAGATCCGCATGCCTCTGCCTCCTGCAGGATTAAAGGTGTGTGCTCCACTGCCTTTGGTGCTTCTTTGTGGTCATCCTCTGGCCCTTTAGAAAAGACTGAAATAATCCTGAACACCTGAAGTTTGACTTGAGATGAAGAACATCAAGTCTCAGGGATAGGGGACAAAGGGCAGTGATGACCATTTCCGTTTAGACAGGGAATTTCAGTTGCGAACATTTAAGCTAGTGTCAATGAGGTGGGAAACTAGAAAGTGGGCTTTGTAAATAATTGTGAGATCAACTGGCATAGTGACTCATACTTGGACTCCCAGTAATTGAGGTCAAAGCAAGAAGATTACTGTGAGGCCGGCTTCATCTATATATTGAGTTACAGGCCAGCTAGGGCTAAGTAAGACCTCCATCTCAAAAAACGGGGAGCTGTTAAATACCATCAGGCTTGTTCAGGAACTTAGCTTTAAAAATGAGCAGGCCAGGCGCAGTGGCACATGCCTATAATCCTAGCACTTGGAGACAGAGGCAGGAGAATCTCTATGAGTTTGAGGCCAGCTTGCTGTCTACATATTGAGTTCCAGGCCGGTCAGGGCTATGCTGTGAGATCCGATTTAAAGGGGGAAAAAAATGAGTATGGCGGTGCCTGTAATCCTAACACTGGAGAGGCCCTGTGTGCTTTCGGTTGTAATGGTTTGTCTCCCTGGATCCCTGGGGCTCCTGATCTGACCTCAAGCCTGTGCCTTACTCCCCAGCCTTCCTTGCTTCAGAATTTCTAGTGGCCAGACAGGCACTCAGTAAAGAACACTTATTAGATGGAGGCAAAGCCACTTGTGTTTGGGAGACACAGGTACAGTGGCAACAGTAACTTTCATTCACGTTTTCAGTCTCACTGTTGGCACTGTTTACAGAGACGCCATCCTTATGCAGTGTCCACACCAACAATAACATGCACAGAAGCACTCCGCAGCCTGCCCTCAAGGGCCCTGGAGGGACTCTACCGAAAGAGCCGGTATGTCCTGGGCAGGCGCCCATCTCTGCTAGACAGCGCTGCCTGGACATGCTCATAGGTGGGGAGGTCAGTCAAGTCACCCAGGGCGGCCACAGCAGGCTTCCCACGGAGCATCTTGGAAGCAACCCTCTTGATATCTTCTGGCTTCACATTGCCTACAACAGAGAGCAAGAGGCGGTGAGGAAGAGAAGAGCCTCCATCTCCATCTCAGGTTGTGTGTGCAGGCCACAAAGGCAGGCTGAGGAGCCCTGATCTCCATCATCCCCACCACTGGGGATGGAGGTGGGGGCTGCTGAGAGATCCAGGAAGCTCAGCGGCAGCTGGACCAAGGGTGAGTCAGGGCAAAGTCAGGGTAAGTTTCCATTAGGTAAGGAACTACAGTGACTTAAAACTATGTCCACACTGAGTGGAATGGTGTGCACCTGTCATCCCAGCATTTAGGAGGGAGAGGCAGGAGGATCGGGACCAACACCAGCCTGGGCTACATAAGACCCTGTCTCAAATCCCCTAAGCAGCAGCAGCAAAAACTATTTTCAAACACAAGGGCAGCCACGCAGGGTGATGCACACTCAGAAGGCCAAGCCGGAAGATCTAGAGTTTGAGGTCAATGTGAGCTGTGAATCTGTGAGACTTAAACAATCCAACAATGAGGGCATAGTCACCCCATCAGGAATCTCATGTTTAGACAGTGGGCTGTCAAAAGTCTACTTTATTTTCCTGTCTAAAGAAAAAAATCCAGACTATTCCCTCAGTGCTACAGCTTCATGGCAGCCATGCACACACAGCCCAGCCTTCAGAAGGGGTCCCAGCAATCCATCCTCTAGAACCACAACCAGGTCAGCTCATTTTCTAGAGAAGATGAGGCCAGGACAAGCACCTGTCCCAGACCTGGATTCCAAGCCCAGGCAGATGGTTAGGGTGTCTTCTGAAGGACAGGTGACAGTACCCAAGCTGCCCCCACCTACAGTTCTGTACCCAGCTTCACACTCAATTTCCAGAAAATTACAGGCAAATTAAACACAAGCCATGAAACACACTGCCTGAACCACAGTGTCCAAACCCAGTGACACCGCTCCACCGCTAGGACCACCTAGTCCCCAGGGCCAAGGAGCCTAGGCCTGGTACAGGATGGAGCGGAGAACAGAGTCTGAGTTCTACCCTGGTCTTCCCTGCCAGACTGTTGGGGAAAGCAGAACTTGTGGTGTGGCAGACAACAGACCATCTGTCTGTCTGCTCCAGGACAGTCTCCAATAGCCCAGCCCAGGCTTTTGTGTGTACTCACGAATGAGCGTGCACAGCTCGTGGGGCAGCTTTCTTGAATGTGTAGCCAACACCTGCCTCCCCACATCCTCGAAGATCACAGGCCTGGACTCCAGGTTCATCATGAGCATGGACATCAGCTGTGTCTTGGCCCGCTCTAGCTCCACCTGAGAGTCAAACACCACCAGTCACTTATAGCTGGCTCAAGCTGGCAGAGGGGCTGACCTGAACATGTCCCAGTAAAAAGGCCTCCATGAGCCCAAAGATGAGCAGAGTGGAGATGCTGTTCCCCGTCTGGTTTCCAGTCTGGTACACCTCCTGGGCATGAGAGGAATTGCACTAGAAAGGCCTTCATTACACCCGAGACAGGCCCATGCCTACTCTCTGCTGCCTGTTTGAATCACAGGAAAGCAACATGCATCAGGAAGCCACACTTGGCTGCACAGGAAAATAGAGGATGTTGATGAAACAAAGACTCTGGCTGCTCAGAGTCCTGAGCACAGGACTCAGACCACTAGCCCTGGAAGTAATCAGAGGCAGCAGAATCAACAGCTGAGCCTCTGGCCAGGTGTGGACTTCAACTATGGTACCAAAGAATCAGGACCAGCAGGGGAAGATCAAGCTGGGTATGTCAGCACTCCCCTGTAAGGCCAGCATTCAGGAAGAGGTGGGGCAGGAGGACTGCAAATCTGAGGTCAGCCTGGCTCTATTATGAATCTGTCTTAAAATAAGTTACTTGTCACTTGTACAATTTCAGGCAAATAATTAATACTGTAAATTTATCTTAAATAGATTTGACACTAGTGGAAAGCACTTTATCAAGTTATTAGTAGAGCATTAATTTTGGCTGTGCTGGGGGTGGAACCGAGGGCCTTGAGCATACCTAGCAAGCTCTCTACCACTGAGCCATACCCCCAGACTTTGGTTTATTCTTTACATTAGCTTAGGCTGGCCTTGAACTCATGACCTCTGCCTCCACTTCCTGAGAGCTGGAATCAAAGGCATGCATTATGCATTACCTTGCCTTGCCACCGCACTTTTAATTTTTAAGCACATTTTAATTTTTTCAACAATGCTGCCTTTTTTCCTTAAAAAGACAGTATGTGACATGTGGTCACTGAAGGAAACATGCATTATGGAGAAAGAAGGAAAGGCAAAATACATCCTCCACCATATCCACTGCACCTGTGCTGTGCCAACCTGTAACTAACACATGTAAAATCACCTTGCTTTTATGAGCTCTGGCCCAGGAAGTAACAAAACTTCCAAATATTAAGATACCAAAAACCTAAAGCCAGGCATGGTGGCCACACCTTTAATCCCAGCACTCGGGAGGCAGAGGCCAACCTGGACTAGAGTTCCAGGACAGCCAGGGCTGCACAAAGAAATCCCATCTTGAAGAAGAAAAAAAACAAAACAAAACAAAAAAAAAAAAACTTGGGTTCCAACGTAAAATGGAGCCAAAGAAAGGTCTAGAAAAGACCCCACATTATTGCTCATCTTGTATAATGCTGCATTAACTCATGGCCATTCTATAAGAACCACTGAGAGGGACAGACTGCCTTGGGGTAGCACTGAGGAGGCTCCACAGGAGAATGGCTCAGCCTGTGGCTCCTTCAGGTGTGAGACTTAGGTAGAGCAGAGTGCAAGGGATGCTCCAGGCCTTACCAGATCTACTGTCCTGCCCATCAAGATAAACTCCTTGGTGATGATTTCCACCATTTCTCGAACCTGTAAAGGAGCATGAGATAAGGGTGTGAGCTGAAGCACTGGCCTGCCTGCTGACTTCAGGAATACCCCTGCCAGCATCCCCAGAGCTGTGGTACTGCTTTGGAGCGTATGTGGAGAAGTGAGGGCTGCGGGCTGTACAGACACAGTGCTGCCTTTACCTGTCTTGGGTCTGCACTGGCATGAATGCATAGGAGGCCCGTGTCTTCATAGCTGTGGTGGTAGGAGGTTGCATTGTACATCCAGTGGTGCCTGGGAGGGGATATATTGTCTGGGTCAAGGGACAGGATGGCTGGAAGGTGTCAGCACAGTCCATGCACACAGCAGTGCAGAGACAGCAGCAGGAGCCCAGCCATACCCACCGATTGAGCACGTTGAGGTAGAGCCTAGAGAACATGCCTTTGCCAGGCCCTCCAGCTGAGAAGGAGCCCCCTCCTCCCATCATCATATTCAGCACAGCAAAGGGGATGAAGTCCTCCTCCTATGGAATGCAGAGGGACAACAGTCAGCCACAGTGCCTTGGCCCTCCTGATGCACCCGACCTATACTGGGACTCACCAGGAAGGAACAGCTCTCTAGTCCCACCATGATGTGTGTGAGCTCAGGAATTGGGGTTGGACCAAGGCTGACATTGGACATGTCTCTCTCCACCTGTAACCAACCAGACATGTGTCGTCAGCAAGACTGGCAAACTGCCACTAAGCAAACAGCCACACTCAACCAGACACCAGGTGACCTCAGCCCTGTCAATTCTTGCCTTAAACAAGTGACATCCTCATAGTGTCAGCGCTGGACTATACACTAGGGGGAAGCACACACACATCCATTAAAGCAATATCCAGAGGATACATGGCACAAGGCCTGAGAGTCTTGCTGCTGAGTTACCTTGATGATCCCCCCAGTGTACTGTGCCACTGATCTGTCAACGTCCACAGCCCCAGTAGCTCCCCAGGCAGGCTGAGCTCCCAGGAGGTACTTTCTGGCACATTCCACCAGGTGTTCATGCTCCACTCCCACTCCAGCAAGCACCATACGGTCAGGGGTGTAGTAGTTCTTCAGGTAGGAATGCAGCACTTCTCGATCAATCTTTGCTATGTTTTCTGCAGGGCAAAACCGGTGCAGACCCACTGTGTTCTCCCTAAAAGCAGCCTGAGGCAGACAGAAGGGGAATAAACAAAAGTGAGAAAGAAAACAGCAGATCCCAAGGCAAGACTCCCCAACATGGGCTATAGCCACAACCGTGACAAAAAGGCTGGGCGTGATCTATGGTCTGGCTCTGTTTGTTTGAGAGGTGGCACATGCCTATCTTAGCACTCAGGAAACTGAGGCAGGGAGATTATGAGTTCAAGACCAAACCTGAACAGTATAGCAACTGTCTCCAAAAACAACTAAGAAGCTAAGCCTGCTCTGTAAGCCTCGCCACCTGCAAGGCCAACAGCAGGGAGAAGAAGCACATGTGGGCTCCTATTTTACTTCATGAATCATCTCGGTGAGCAGTGGCTCTGGATCAGGTCTCATGTTCAGGTCCTCAAGTTCAAACTGGACAGCCATCCTTGTCATCTCAATTTCTTCATCTGCAAGAATCCAAACGGGTTTGGTCTGAACCAACAGGGTGGAAGGCAG